AATAATAAAAACAAACAAATAATTTTTTTTTCCCCCGTCTCTGTTTGTCGTTGTTCTTTTTGTTTGTAATTGTCTGATAATAATAATTTTTTTTTTTTTTTAAATTAGTTTTCGTCAATTAAATAATCGTAGTTAGATGATAATGATAATAATAATAATTTTTCTTTTTTTTCTGAACAAGAAAATCAAAGAATAAAAAAAAAATTTTCTGCAATGAAACAAGGTGGTACATAATAATTTATTTATAAAAATCGTGAAAAAATTTGATTAACGGCTTATAAATAACAAAAACAACAACAACCACCACCACCGCCACCACGACAACAACGACAAAAAATTATTATTATTATTATTATTTTCATTTTATTTTTATTATTATTAGAATCATTAAATTAAAAATGTAATAATAATAATAATGATAAAAAGTTTTTTAATAATTTATTAATTCGATTAAAAAATATTATTATTATCATCATTGAATCAACAACGATAATAATATTAATAATAATAATAATAATAATAATAATAATAATAATGATTGTTATTAAACATAAAAAAAAAAAGATTTGAACAATGGGGATTTTTTTCGAAAAGAATAAAATTTGTTTGTCGGCGCGTTCTAACGAACAACAATAACAACCACAAAATGTTTTCTTTTAATAAAGTATTATGTTAACAAACGGAAATCGCGTATCCGAAATTTTCCAAAGTTACACATAAATTTCCGATTAGGTTTTTTTTTTTCTATCTACATTTTACGAGAGAATAAGACGAGAGAGAAAATAAAAAGCAGAAGACGTTTAATAAAAAAAATAATAATAATAATAAGTGATTAAACGGTGAATTTAAATTAAATACTACCAACTACTACTACCGCGAGGGAAAATAAGGGATTTTTAATCCCTTACTCAAAAGTACAAAAAAATCCCTACGCAGTGGATTTTTTTTTTTTTAAAAGAACGAATGAAAAAAAATTTAAATTTTATTAATTATTAAAATCCCTATTTGTTAAATTTTAATTACGATTGAATAATAATAATAATATTTATTTTTTTTTAAACCTTTTAATAATAATGATAATAAACCGGATACGGTTATAGTGCGAAAAATTGGCAACACATCATTCAAACGCATAATCCATTATACTTTATAATAATTTCATAACTGGAGGGGATTTTTTCTTATTTTTTTTTGTAATAATGATAGGAATTTCCGTTTTTTTGACAAAACGATATTTATTTTTTTTTTTAAACAGACAAACAAACAAACTAATGTCTTAATAACAAAAAAAAATCACAACAAATTATCCGACGAATTATTTACTTCCTCAAAAAAAAGATTCTGGATAAAAATTATCCAATAACAATAAAAATCTCATCGATGAATTGTATAAAATATATTTTAGCCTTTTTTCACATCATAAATAAAGATAAACGCAATAAAAAAAAAAACAATTGTTTATAGGTTTTTAAGCGGTTTTTTTATGAGTTAAAAAGAATCAGTGGCGTATGCAGGGGATGAAATAAAACGAAAACGTATAACCGGTTAAAGGCCCGAAGGATTAATTAATTTACTTTTTTTTCCCCTTAACAAAAAAAAAAAAATTTTTTTTCTCTCTCTCTCTCTCTCTAATTATTATTATATCAATGAAAGTTATTTTAGTTTTATATTTTTTTCGATCCCTCATTCTCGTTTCCCCTTTCCCCCGACTACTTCCTTTCTCCCTTCCTTCCCCTTAATTTTTTTTTTTTTACTATCGATAATCGATTATTGTTATTTAATAATAGGTAATAATAATAATAGTAATAATTTATTTATAATTTTTTGATTTAAAAAAAAAAAAAAAGATTGAGTGGGAGAAGGGCGGAGGGGGACGGGAGAGGGGAAGGGAAAAGGATCCCTCCCCTCATTTTAAAAAATTTGAATGAAAATTTTTGGACAGATGGAAATTTATATTTTGGCACTGGATAATTTTTTTTTAAAAAACGAAACAAAAAAATAAATAAAAAATCCGTTAAATATTAAATTATGTCGGAAATGATGATTTATCGATAATCGATACGTTTAAATTATTATTTATCTATTATTATTATTATTATTATTATTATTATTATTATTATTATTATTAATAAATTAAATAATAATAATAATAAAAACAAATCGAAAAATTTTTTTTTTATCTTTGTACGTGATGATGGCGAATCGTTCAATACAATCAATTAAATTCGGAAGGAAAAAAAAATCGATTTTTTTTTTATACACTATATTGTTTGTATTCTATAACAATTTATCCGTTTGTTTTTGTGCTTGTGTATTTATATACCGGCGGAAGGTTGTTGTTGTTGTTTTCGTACTAAAATCTCCTATCTAAAATTATTTCTCTTCTTCTTTCTTTTTCAACGAAAAAATTCACCCTGTTTCTTTTTTTTTTTGTTTGTTTTTGTCTGCATTTTTTCTATATTTATACATTAAACCGATTGGTTGTTTTAAAATTTGACAAACAAATTCAATACTTATATACCATTTCAATATTTAAGTATTTTCGTACGAAGAAAATTTTCCAAAAAATTAAAATGAACGGTTGTTATTGATAAAAAACAAAAGGAAAAAATGTCGTGTTACTCACTACGTGAAATATTTAAATCGTGTTATTTTGTTCTAAAGCTACGATCGGACAGAAAAAAAAAACAGGAAAAGTAACACAATAAAAAATTTTTTCTTTTTAAAATTAGTCCCGGGTACTGACGTTTGGGGGTCAATTTAACTTTCTAATAATAACCGTGATCGTTTATTGGGATTGTGTTTATACGATCCGGTTTAAAACCCAACGAAAAAAAAAAAAACATAATAGAAATATAATCAATAGATAGTTTTAAAAAGAGACAGAAAAAAAATATGACGTAAGGCGGGGGGGGTGGAGAGAAGGAGGAATGACAGAGACTAAGGGAAGTAGGAAAACGGAAACTAAAAAGTCATTAGGTAGCGTTGCCACGTTACATTTTGGACAAACATAAATGACCAAAAGCTTTAAGTTCATCAATTTTTTTTTTTATATGAGAGTGAGAGACAGAGAGAGAGAGGGGGGGAGAGAGAGAGAGAGAGTAAAGACGATAAAATAATAAATTGATTAATTAATAATTTTTTTTTTTTAAAAACTAAATTTTTTACGTCACCAAAAAAAAAATTTTTTAATTCGAACTCATTCGTCGAACGTCCATTTTTTTTGTATTTAAATTTGGAAATCTTAAAAGCATGTCAAACCGACCCGATCAACCCCCCCCCCCCAGAAAACAAACGGTAACAATCGGTAAAAACTTTTTTAAAAAAAAAAAAAAATTATAATTAAATTTACGTAATTAACGTTTTTTTTTTTTTCGGAAATACATTTCACGGATCGAATTTATGTAAATTATAGTAAATAATAATATAAAACTATAAATAATAATAATGACATTTTCTAATAATAATAATAATAATAATAATAATAATAATTTTTTTACTATAATATAAAAACAATTCACTATATGTATATATGTATACGCAGTTCTGAGAAAAAAATTGTAAAAAAATCGTGATAATGGTTTAAAAATTAATAAGATTATATTCAAATTAAAATAATTATACATTTTATTATAAACTGACTACTTCATTCAACGAAATAATTTATTACTTTTCTTTCTTATAAAAAAAAAAAAATTCAAATAACTCTTTAATATTTTAGCCCTTAAGGCTTACCATCGAAACGTTATTTATGAGATCTTCGGGTTGTTGTTGTTGTTGTTGCAGTGGTTTTATTAAATACCATTTTTTTTTTTTTTTACTTTTTTCTTTCTCTCTCTCTCTCTCTTTTCATAAGCTGCCTTCTTTTTTTTTTCTTTTATTGTCCGTGGATCAAAGAGCAATTATTATTATTATTATTATTATTATTATTATTTCCTTCAAGATTTGTTTAAACCGATGATTTTGATTTTGTACGACGACCAACGCTTTTTTTTAATTTTTAAATCCGGTTATTTTTTGACTTTAATACCTGAGAGTAACCGGCAAGACAACCTGTGAAATATAACACGTAATCCAACATCGAAAATAATAAATTATAGTGATTAAACTACGACTCGTGTTGGTTTACCCCCCCCCCCTCTTTTTTTTCTTAAATAAAATTTTTTTTCCTACCATTATTATTATTACTATTATTATTACTTACTTATTTATTTTTATTTTACTTATTGCAAAAAGACCTAAATTTTCCTAAAAAAAATTTCGTCTTCAACAATTTAAATAAAAAAAAGAAAAAATCGAAAATAATTTATTTATTAATTAATTAAATTACGAGCAATAATAATTATTATTATTATTATTGAAATTTTGAAACTTGTCGTTCCAGTTTATTAATATTATAATAATTTGTATTAATAAATAAATGAATAAACAAACAAACCAAAACTAGTTATAAATAATTTTTTTTTATATGTACAGCGCTCAATAAAAACATTAATTAATAATAATAATAATTTTACATAATTATTATTTACATAAATTTTTTTTTTTTGGAAATTAAAAATAAGTGATGATGAAGGTTTAATAGCTATTAAACAATTAATAAATGATTTATTTAAGTTATTAATGTTTTTTATTTATTTGAATTTAATAAATAATTTTTTTTAAGAAGAAAAAATAAAATAATAATTATTATTAATAAAAAGTTATCATCACTCGCGTTGAAATTTTTGTTTTGTTTTTTTTATTTATTATTTCTATTATTAAAATTATTTATTTATTTATTTGCAGGAAAAGTGGAAGAAGGAAAATGTTTTCAAAAAAAATTCATTAAAAAAAAAAATTGAAATGAATTAATACATTGATTGAAGGATGTTTAAATAAGTTGTGTGAAAAGATATAAGGATAATAATAGTAATAATAATAATAATAATAATAAAATGAGTTCGTATCAGTTTGTTAATTCGTTGGCATCCTGCTACGGACAGCAGGGAGGCCGTACGGGTGCATCACCGGTCGATCCGTCAGCGGCAACTCCGGATTTTTACAATCCAAACGGTGCTGGCAACGCTTATCCAAATTGTTATTCTCCCCAACAAAGTCACTATCCCCAACAACAGCATTATGCTAACGTTAACGGTCACGAAGCCATGATGGACTATACTCAATTACACTCACAAACTCACAGAATGAGCATTCATCATAACAGTACGAGCCCGGTTAGTGTAACGGCGACGCCACCTTTAATTAATAATAATAACTTATTAACGAATCCTGTAAATAATATTAATCAAAGAAACGTAACGGCATCGTCGTGTAAATACGCGGATCCGAGTTCTATTTCAAAATCTGGTGTTAGTAGCCCTCAAGATTTATCAACTGGTCCCTCGAGAAGTCCCGGACCGTTAACAGTGACTACGACATCGAAAATAACATCTTCGGCGACATCAGCAATTTCGCCAACGACTCCAGCAAGGTTAGCAACATCTCCAGCTTCTGCCGGAGGACAAACGACATCTTCGAACGTATCCCAAAGCTCAGCTTCACCGGCCAGCAGCACTTCGTCAACGTCGACGGGAGGAGGTGGAAGCGGAGGAGGCGGAGGAGGAGGTGGTTCTTCGTTAAATTCATCATCCAAAGGAAGCGGTTCTGGTAATCCTCCACAAATATATCCCTGGATGAAAAGAGTACATTTGGGACAAAGTAAGTACAAAAAAAAAAATAATGAAAAAACTCAACGAAAACATAATTTACACACTTTTAAATTCGTGTGAACGGCATTAAATTACACAACAACCATGACAGTATCTACGCAATCATAAGTTAGAATTACATAATTAATTGATAGCAAAGGACCGAAAATGGAATCACGTGTCTTTTTTCTTTTTTTTTTATTTGCTAATTTACTTCCTTCTGCTTTATTTTAACGTTGCATTAGCATAGGTTTCCATCAAGGTTTTAGAAAAAAAAAAAAATCCCTTAAGGACAAATAGATTTATCTTTTTTTTTATTATTTACGCAGCGGCATTGTGACTTGCGTTATATACAGACAGAACGACACGGATTAAAGTGTACAAGCAACCAACCAACCAACCAAACAACCAAGCTAGCTAGCAAACAAGCCCCTTATGGGTGAATGTTAACACAAAAGTTAAATTGCGTCAAATTTTAACCACACGCTGAGTTCAAATTATATAAAAGAAAAGAAACGAAAGCAGAAAGAAACCTGAAAGTATGAAAGAAAAAAAAAGAAAACCAAATGGTCATTTATATACAAAATTCTAAGAATAAAATATTAAAGAAAATAAAAAGGCTGGAGGAGAATTTCCGTTTGTGTTTGTTTGTTTGTTACACAATTTTTGAGTGGTGAACGTGTGTGCGTGTGCGTGTATTTGCGGGGGCGAGTTTGTAAAAATGTGCATTTGTAGGCATGTGATCATGTATAAACGTGTTATATACTTCGCTTCGGATTTATAACAAAAAATGTGACACTTAAAGATTTAGGGGGGGTGAAATAATAATAATAATAATGATAATATTACGAGGGTTGAAATTTTGTTGAAAAAAAAAAATTACGAGAAAGAGAGAGAGAGAGAGATTACGTCCGTCCGTTTTAGTCCTATTATCATGTTTCAATTCATTCACTGACTTTTTAAAAATCTCCCAAAAAAAGAAAAAAAATTTTTTTTTTTTTGTAAGGGTGGCAACCATTAGTGATAAGAATAATTTTTTTTTTTATTCCGATAATCTTTTTCTCTTTTTTTTCTTTAAATTTCGGGAAGGGGGAAAGGAAAAAAAATTTTTTTTAATGCACGAAAAAAAAAAATTTCGCCAATTTTTTTTTTTTAAAGAACCCTCACAAAAATAATAATAATAATAATAATAGGGGGTTAGGGGATCGATGCGATTCTTCGCTAAGAAACTAAATGTGTGGCATTTTTTTTCCGCCATTTCCTTTAATAAATTAATTTTGTTTTCGGCATTTTTTTTTTTTTTTTGTTTAAAAATGGAATTCAGTCTCATCGACAGATCACTTACGATTTTTTATTTTTCATTCATTTCTTTTTTTTTTTTTTTTAAATAAAAGGCGTGGAAGAAGAAAGAACGAACGAACGAACGAACAAACGACAAACGACAAACGACGACAAAATAAATAAATATAAAAAAAAAACAAATTTATCGGTTCGTTAAAAAAAAAAATTTTTTTTTAAAAATTAAATCGTCCTCATTTCCGTAATTTTTATTAATTCGAAAAAAAAAACAAAAAAAAATTTTCCAGAACTTTCCACGATTAAATAATTTTTTAAACAGTTAATAATTTTTAAAGTTGTGATAATAATAATAATAATAAATGAATAAATAACATTAAGGTGGAATTAAATAAAATAATAAGTTTTTAAATTGGTTTAAACGATACTACAACAAGAAAATTTATTTATTCATTCATTCATTCTCATTAAAATCTTTTTTTTTTTCGTTTGTATAGTAATTTTTTTATTTTATTACGTAATAAAATTAAAAATTATTATTAATGAAACCTTGAATTCTGTCGAATGAATATCTGTGATAATTTTTTTTTTTTTTTTTGAATTTTTTATCAGTTTGTTTATTATTATCGTTATCCGCGATGGCCGACACAAATATTTATTTAGAAAAATGAAAAATTTTAATAATAATCACCTGATTAGTTTTTTTCTTTTACGACGTCGTCGTTATGACGTCATAAATCAAAACGTGAAATAAAAACTTTTCTTTCCTTTTTTTAAAAGGTTTTTTTTTAAATAATAATAATAATAATAAGAAAGAAAAGGAAAAAAAACTCCCACGATACGATTTGTTTAAAAAATAATTTAAATAATAATAATAATAATAATAAAAGATTTCCAGTTGTTTTTTTTTTTTTGTTAAATTTACAACTGCAAAATTGAAAAGTGAAAATTTTTAAAAAAAAGATAAAATAAGTAGTGCCAACTGTCAATTTTCCGTTTTTGAATAAAAAAAAAAAAAACTCCCGATGTTTCTTTTCTTTTTTTTCATTATTATTAACCCTTTCAAGGTTTTTTTTTTCTTTTGATACCATTTTGAGCAAAAAACAAACAAAAAACAAAACAAAACAATTTTTTTTCCACGTATTTATTATTATTATTATTGTTGTTGTTGTTGTTAAAAAACAATCCTTTTTATAAATTTTTCCAAGGTTGTTTCTTTTTTTTTTTGACATAATTTAAGGTTGCACCAGTTAAAAAAAAAATACAAACTCTTTGACTTGACAAAAAAAATAGCATTGTTTTTCTTTTAACTCTTCTGCTTTTATTAAAAATAATAATAATAATAATAATAATAATTGTTATTTTTTTGGGGAACTATTATCGTAATTGTTGTAAATGAAGAACGAAAAAAATAATTTAACCATGAATAATTAAAAAAAAAAAACTCTTTAAATGCCACCCTCTGTCACACTCTCTCTCTCTTTCTCTCCTCCTCCCCTCTCCTTCTCTCTTCCTCTCTCTCTTCTTTTTGTCATTTTCCATATGTCCCCCTAGGGGAAAAGTAAAAAAAAAGAATCGAATAATAATTTTTTATCGTATCGTTCTTCTCGAATAGGTATCATACGTACGATGACGTCGTGTCGAAAAAAAAAAAAACCCGGAAGTGTCAATAGAAAATTTTTTTTTCATGACTAGGTATTCATTTTTTTAATGAATGTTACGTCGGAAATGATGAGTGGTTGTTATTGCCACGTACGTACGAATCCGCCTACTTTTTTTTTTTTAACGAACGCGAACCGATGATAATGATAACTCTCTTTAAATAACTCTCTTTTGCAATGTTTTATCAAAAAAAAAATTAAAGATAATTTTTATATATTTTATCGGAAAATAAACGCCATTTTTTTTTTTGATTAACAACGACGTGTCATTAGATTAACATACGTAAGGATAAAAATTTTTTTAACGGAATAAAATATTAAAATTAAAAAATGGCGTCGGCGTCAACGATAATTAAAAAATTTTAATTTTTCCCTCCCTCCCCCCCACCTCGTTTCTGGAATTTTCTAGATTTTTTAAACACCGTCCAATTACACGACATTTTTTCAACCGTAAATAAATTATTATTATTAATTAATTAATAAAAAATAAAATTCACCGTGTTTTAGTTTTTAAAAACAATTTTTTTTTTCGTAAAAAAAACGAAAAACATAAAAATGATTTTTAGTAGGAAAAAAAAAAAATTTTGTTTTTTTTTTTGAACAAGTGGCACATTTATAAATAGATTTCAAATAAAACAAAATTTTTACCGGGAGTTTAACGTTAAAATAGATCAAAAAAAAAAAAAAAAAAATGGATGTCACGAGATTCACGTTAACAACAAGAACAACAACAAAAACAACAAATACGATATAAATAAATAATGATGATGATGATGATGATAATCATTCGATTTTTACGAACGTATCGTTAAATTTTTTTTTTTTCCGATTTGACGATTTGTCGTTGCAGTTTTAAAATTTTCTTTTTTTTTTAAAGAAAGGTGTTAGAAAATTTATTAATTTTTATTGCCAAATTAATAAAATGGCAGGTGTTATATTTGGTTAATAATTTTTTATTTTTTATTTTTAAAATAACATAAAAAATGACACTTCGAAGTAATAAAATTTAATTCATCCGTAACTAACGAACATTTTTTCTTTTTTTTTTTTTTTACAGTACTTTAAAAATTTGTTTAACTTTGTCAAATAAATTATTTATTCAATAAAATTTTATTTATAAAATAAATAAATAAATAAAAATTACGTCACGATAATAACAATAAAAATAATCGTGTGGTAATATTCATAACGTCATCATTGTATTAAACAAACTCAGCGTAAATAAAAAAATTATTATCATCATCATCATCGCGTAATAATTAAAAATTTGTTAATATGTCTTTGTTGTTGTTGTTGTTGTCGTCGTCTTACTCGTTTGTAGTTTCAAAATGGCGGATTTTCGTTTGATTTAAACAAAAAAAAATTGAATTAAATTTTTCCACGTGGTTATTATAATGGTAATAAAAATAATTAAATTAAACAGGGGATTTTCAAATCTGCCCTTTTTTACCTTTCTTAACCAGCCCCCCACCCCATCTTTCTCTCTTCCTACCCCCCCTTTCAATCGTTTAAATTGTTTTTTTTTTTTTTTCGTTAACAAACAAGAATAATTTAAGTTTAAAAAAAAAAAATCAAATGTTTTTTCAACACGAAAACAAACATTAAATAAATAAATAAATAAAAACCACAATGACACCCCCAACAAAACCGATAATAATAATAATAATAATAATATCAGGTATTGTATATAATGAATCAATTACACAATTCGAAAAATTATTGTGTGTAAGAAAAAAGAAAAAAAGTTTCATTATTCTATTAACCGGAAGGCGTAACGCCCTTTTTCTTTTTCTTACTTTTGCCATCTCTCTTTCTCTCTCTCTCTTCTTAGTCTACCACCACGTTAAAAATTTTCCCTCATCTCGATAAACATAACGGTTTTAAAAAAAAAAAAAATTTTTTACGCTTATCATAACAACAACAACAACACGATAATTACGTTTAAAAGAATTTAAATACGTCATCATAACAATGTTAAAGAATTTATTTGGTTGATCGCACAAAAATTTTTGAATAAATAATTTTTCTTTTTTTGTTTTTTTTTGTCGTGTAAATAGATAAACGAAAAGATCGGACGAATATCAAAAGTGAATAATTGTTTATGAATAAAAAGATAAAGAAAAAAATGAATGATGGATTTTTTTGTTGAAACGAATTGTTAACAATTGACGAATGCCAAATAATTAAACAAAAAAAAAAAAAATTTAATTTTGGAAACGTGAAAATAAATAAATAAATTTCCTGTTGTTGTTACTGTTGTTTGTTCTGTTTTTTTGGGGAGGGGAAGGAAGGAAATTGGGAAAAAAAGTTATTAAAAAAAACCAAAACTCGATGATGACGCACAAATATAAATTGCAATTTTTTTTTTTTTGATAAAAAATTTTGTTTAGATTTTTATAGCGCTATAAAAAAACACGATTTCGGATTATATATCGACGAAATCATTTTTTTTTTAATCTTCTTAACGTGAAAATAATATTACTTAATTACACGTTAATATTCTATGAGCCATTTAAATATCACAGTTAACAACAAACAACAAACATCCTTTTACGATGAATGATTTTTTTTTTTTCAATCATCAAACGAATTCATTATTCTTTTATTTATTTAATTAATAAATTATTTTAATTTATTTATTTTTTTCATTAATATTATTTATTTATTAAAATCGTTTCCCCTTCTCCCCCCCCGATCAAACTCGTTCGGGTATTATGTATTGTAAAAGTTTAAGGTCGAATAAAAAAAAAAAAAAATAGAAATAAATTTTAACGGAAATCAAACGAATAAAATTAAATTTCTACGACATATATATATTTTATATAATTATTATTACGTAATTTAACAACATCTATTGACACGATTACATAATTAAAAAAATTTTTTTTTTTTTGTAAATAAAAGTCAGGAGCCGACTGTGCGGTTTTTTTTTATTAAAATTTTATTTCCCAAAAAAAAAATAAAAAAAAATAAAAAAAAAGCAAAAAACTGGAAATGATTGATTACTTTTTAAATTTTAATTCATCACGTTGATGTTTTCTTCTATCTCTCTCACTCTTTCTTTTCAGTAGTACTACCCTTCTCCAGTTTGTAAAAAAAAAACCCTTAATTTGACTTCATAATTTAAAAAAATGAACCCGTGATGAAAAAAAAACAAACTCCCCCGTCACGTATCATTTTCGGGTTTTAATTATTTAATAGTTTAAACTCGTGCCACGATGATCATTTCTCACTCTCTCTCTCTCTTTCTCGTTTTCATTTAATTATTTCGTTATATAAAAGAAGTATAAAAAAAAATAGGGTTAAAACAAATAATAATAATAATAATAATAATAATTTATTTATTAATTTTCAGGTACGGTGAATGCAAACGGTGAAACGAAAAGGCAAAGAACGTCGTACACGAGGTACCAAACGTTAGAATTGGAAAAAGAATTTCATTTTAATAGATATTTAACGAGGAGGAGAAGGATAGAAATAGCTCATGCATTGTGTTTAACCGAAAGACAAATAAAAATATGGTTTCAAAACAGGAGAATGAAATGGAAAAAAGAACATAAAATGGCTAGCATGAATGTTGTTCCTTATCAATTCGGCCAAATGTCACCCTACGGATATCCACAACAGTACATGCCTCCACAATTTGCACATTTGGCCACATAGGGGGAAATTTTTAGCCCTTATTCCACCCTGGAATAAGGACTAAATTAATAATAATAATTATTATTTTAATTTTCAATGAAAATAAAAATAAAAATAAATAAAAAACATAAAAAAAAATGATAATTAAATCTAATGTGATCGATCTATATATAAAATGATGTATAGTGTAGCTAATTAATTTGTTCCTTCGTAAATATATATATAATATATAATATAATATAAATAAACGATGAAAAGCCTGTTCAGTGTATATTATATACGTAATTATAAGTAAATAGTTTTCCCTCTCTCTCTCTCTCTCTCTTGCAAAATTTTTATTATTTACAATTTTTATATTATTATCATTGCAAAAAAAAAAGTTAAATGTGTAAAGAAGTATTAATTAAAAATAAATAATATTATATATATATATATATATATATATATATATATATATACTGAAATATAAAAATATAAATCATAAGAAGCATATTTAATATAATAATATAATATAATATATATTTTTTCACACGACGTAATTTTCTCATTTTATTTTTATTTATAATGAAAATAATCTGTCGTAAATTCCGGTTCAGTTTATACATATATATTATAAATTTTAATATAATTTTTTTTTTCAGTATATAATAAAAAATATTAATACGTCATCATGTAATTTTTTTTTTTTTTAACGAATAATATCGTAATGCACACACACACACACGGCGGTGCAATGCAATTTTTTTTTTTTTAAACAACCCTCGCGTTTGTTTTATTTATATTTATATTATTATTATCATCATTTATTTGAATCGTTACGCGTGTAAAAAAAAAAAAATAAATAAATTCGTTTGTCGCGAAATAATTGCGAATAAGATAAACAAGGTGATATAGATGCGTAATAATATTATAAAAACGAGAAGAAAAAAAAAAAATTTTTTTTTAACATACGAGACGTTAAATATTTAATCGATTCGAAAAACGTTTTTAAATCAAAACAAACAAACAAACAACAAACAAAAAAAAAATAACATTAACCCAAATTTAAATGTGACATATAGAGTTTTAAAAAACAACAACAAAAACTAAATAAATAAATAAATAAATAATTTTAATTTAACTTTTTAATAAGTTTTTTTTTCCAATGATTTAACGTAACATTATGAAAACAAACGAATGTGTTATGAAAAAAAAAATTGAATAAATTTTAAATTTTTACGGGGACTTTGTTATATAAGAGATTTTCTATACGTAAACAAACGCATCGTTCATAAAATAAAATTTTATTATTATTATTATTTTATACGTTTGTTCGTTTGTACGTTTGTACGTTTTCTTTCTTTCATTCTTTCTTCAAACTAATTAATCGATCATTCTGTTAAGTGGTTCACGACGTTAAAGCAGAAAAAAAAAAAAGAAAAAAGATTAATGAAGTTACAAAATCATCGGGTCAACCGATTCAATATTCTTTTATATATACGTACAAACGTGTTTGGCGCACGCGCACGTACAATACCCTTAAAAAACAATTTAAATAATAATTTTTATTAAATATAAATATATATATTAAAAATTTGCTTCTTGTGATTTTTTATTTTTATTTTTTTTTCTCTTTATTTAGATACAAAAAAAAAAAATTATTTATGTATATATATATATATATATATATATATATATATATATATATATATATATATATATATATATATATAAATTATGAATAAATAAATACTCTGTATTGTTAGCTTTAATAATAATAATAATAATAATAATAATAATTGTGAAAAAAAATAAATTAATTATTTTACGAAAAAAATTAAATAAAAAAAAAAGAATTTTTTATTATTATTATTATGTAAAATTTTCTGTGTATAAATTTATTTTAAAAAAAAAAAAAAATAATAATAATAATAATAATAAAGTTTTTTTAAATTAATTAATTAATTAAAGTAATAAATACATAAATAAATAAATAATATAACAAATTCGGAAATATGCAGGGATAGAAAATTTAAAAAAAAAAAAACAAAAATTTAATTTTTCGTATTCGCGTGTATTTTTTCTCCCCCCTCCCCCCATTTTATCCTTTTTTTTCGTACGTGTTTATTAAATAAATATTAATAATAATAATAATAATAATTTAAATAAATTGAAAAAAGCACGTATAAAATAAATAAATAAATAAAATTTTAGCGAAAATTTATAAATAGGCTGTACGAAAAAAAAAAAAAAAAATTAAATTATGTATTATTGTAATAATATTATTAAACATTAATTTTTTTAATTTGAAATTTTTCCCGCGTTTTTCCCGCGATGATGGCTTTTATTTTACGCGCGTTTTTTTTTTTAAATTTAAGATATTTTTTTGTTTTAAATATGTTCTAGAAATTTTTTTTTTGCAATTGTTTTTACATTAGATTTAAATAAAAAAAAAATTTACGACGACCGTTAAGTTAATGTTTTTTTTTTAAATAAAAAATTAAAATATTATTATTATTATTATTTTAACGATTTAATAATTAAACGAAACACTTTTTGAATAAAAATATTTTTAAATAAATAATAAATAAATATACATATAAATAAATTTTATAATTTTTTTTTTTTTTTTTTTATTATTAAAACGTTAAAAACGTAAACATGCGATTTAAATACACGCATAAAAATCAGGTTAAACTTTTTTTTTTCCTTATTATATAATCAAAATGAAATAATAATAATAAAAAAATGTCGCATGCGAAAAATTGATTTTTTATTTATTTATTTATTTATTAAATTTTTATCGATAAAAAAAAACAAAAAATTAAAATGTAATTCGTCGTACTGGATTAAATCCCTAAAATAATCTCATTATTATTATTATTATTTATAGTCTGCTATAATAGTTATAGTTCGATTGAAAGTCGAACAAATCGTCGTTTATATTTTTTTCTGTTGTTGTTGTCGTTACTTTGTTTGTTTGTTTTTTAACGTATTGTACTTCTTAATTTTTTTTTTTTTACAAGTTCGTACTGTTATAATATAGCGCTATAAAATAATAATTACTATATTTCGTACTATAAGTTTAAAAAAAATGAAGGCTATAAAATTAAAATGTTAATCCCTTTAAAAAAAAAAAAAAATAAAAGCCATCAATACGTTCATTAAAATTTATTAATAAAATTTTCATTCCATGCAATTATTATTATTATTTATATACATAAATTATGTTAATAAATAAATAAATAAATATTTATTAATTATGATGATGACGATAATGATAATAATAATTATTATAGTTACGTATTTTATTTATTAGAGGAATAAAACGAAACACAGCAGAAACGTAAAATTTTTTTTATCGGTTGTGAAAAAATAAATAAATATTATTAATAATTTTTTAATAAAATCGTTATCGTAATAGAATCAATAAAAAATTATTAATAATTACGCGACGTTAATTATAATAATAATGATGATGATAATGTTTAAATTTAAACAAAATATTATTTTTCACTCAAACACGAACACGAAAAAAATAATAATAATAGTATTTTAGTCGTTAATAAAATAAATAAATAATTTTTATTATTTTCCTGCTGCTGTTGCTGCTAATAATAATAATAATAATATAATAAATATATGTATACATAAAAAAAATAATAATAAATTTGTAAAACAGTATTTTATTGTGTAAATAAAAAAAAAATTGTGTTATTGTAAATGGTAAAATTAATAATAATAATAATAATATAAATAAAAAAAGTGCAATTTTAATTAAAAGCACACGTGATGATAATGATGATTATTATTATTACGATGATGATAATAATAATATTAATAACAGTGCAATTGTGATTAACGAGTGAAATTTTTTTTTGAAAAAAAAAAAAAAATAAAATTCGGAATTTTTTAATTTATTCTTCCGAGTTTTTTTAAAAAAAACTTTTTTTACATTACTACCCTGTACTTATTATTATTATTATTAGTTTTTACAAAACTCCAATTAAAATGAATTATATAAATAATAATAATAATAATATTTGTAAAATTTAATTTTACCTTAAATTTACTTTTAGAAATGATGTAGATGTGTAATTATAAAAAAAAATTAGTCGTTCTCCTATGTATTTGTTGTATATTTTGTTCGAATGTCTTAAAATAAATGTATTGTATTTACTTTATTTATTATTATTATTATTATTATCATTATTATTAAATTATTGATTTTTTTTATCATTAACAATCTTTTATTTTCCCGATTTAAAAAAAAAATTTAATTATTTTGACGTTATGTTCACCGTCATTTTTTTAATACTTCCACCTTTTCCACGTTTACGTTAGAACAAATAATAATAATAATAATAATAATTTCGATGACGTAACGGTTAACAGCCACCTGTGGTGTCGGTGGTTGATTCCTTTTTTTTTTTTTTAATCCTCTTTCATTCGATTTCCGGTACGGAAAAAAAAATTGTGTATAAAATTATTGTATAACCGTTATAATAAAAAAATTGCCAAAATGAAATAATATTTATTGATTAATGTTTTTTAGAATATTCTAGAATAACAAATTAACTTGTATAACCAAAAAAAAAAATTTTTTTTTTCATTCCCATATTATAGATTCATCAAAAAAAAAAAAAAAATCGGTCTCCTGTTATTTTCGTTTTGTTGTTTGTTGTTTGTTGTTGTTTTATTTAAATATTCATATTTGACATTAATTGAAATTCTACTTCCTTCGGTTATAAATTCTAACTAACTTTAACATTTATTAATAATTCAAAAAAAAAAAAAAAAAAAACTTATTTTACTTGTCTTACGAGTAAAATTTCACAACTTAAAATGTCACTAAAATAATTGACATTCCAGAATTTTTCTCCTTATTATTATTATTATTATTATAATATCATTCCAGATTTTTAACAGAAAAAAAAAAAAAAATTTTTGTTTCGGTACTTTACTCGTATTGATTGTGGACACACAAACAAGTTTTTTTTTCGTGAGAATAATTCGATTTGATTAAATGACGACAACACGGG